AAAAAACAGGTCCAAAAAGATTGTATTGAAGTATTGCTTTTCTATTAATTTAAAATGTGTTTTGCTTGGAAAATGTCAATGCAATGTATACAGTAACATATTCATAAAGCTATGCAGATGCCATGCAGATGTTCTGTTTGCACTAATGAAGATTTACCTGATGGATGCTTGGAATAGCTTTCATCTTTAATCTGGTCATTGGCAATAGTTCATCGCATTTATTTGAAGTTTAGCTGCTTTTTAAATGACTTGCAGTTCGATCAGTTTAGCACTATCAGAGGAAGATTGTTTAGTTGTTTCAATCTTAAGCCACTCATTTTTTCCTATGAATCGTGCATTTATACTGATATAAACAGTCTTCTATATTCCTAGAAACCACTTTTTTTTTATTTTTTTAGATGTTACAAACAGTTTAGTCAAAAACTAGCAGGGTCTGTAAGCTGGTTGTTACCAGCAGCCTGTAACAGAGACTCATTTATTGATATTTCTATAGCCGATTCAGAACAAAAAGCAAAGACAAAAGAGCCATACATTACAGGAAAAGCTGAGGGGTGATTCCAGGGCTTTGGAATATGTTTTATCGAATTTTTAAAAACTTTTCTTTCAGAAAATGTTTGTGCTCCTCCATTGGTTTCCTCTTTAATGACAAAAGAGAAAAAAAACCTATCTTTTCATGAATTAATAAACGCTTAAAAAGCATGTAAAATCACAACCTTAGACTTACAATAAACATTTTATTGGAATTTTATGTGATATGCAACACAAACTATCACATGATTAAGAAGAAAAAAAATAACTATAAATGTTTTCTTATTATTTATTTGTTTTTAAATAGATCTGAAAACAGTGTGATACATTTGTATTGAGCCCCAAAGACTTCATAGACTGATCTTAAACTGTTATTATGGGTTCAAGTGTTTTAGGGTATATGTCTGCCAATTGTGTAGAAATTTGGCCCATAAAATAGCTCAGATTGATTGGAGAGTGTTTGTAAATTTTCAACCTGATCCAAATGGGATTTTCTTTGCTGTATATTTAGAGCTGTGGTTGAACATCTGCTTAATTCTCTACATAGCCTCTAGCAGGTTTATTCATAACTGTCATGTATTTAGATCAAGGCTTCAATGTTAGATTTCCACCATAAATAGAGTTGATTTGGTCACATCTAACCAGAACAACCTTTTCCACATGGCTGCCGTCTCCATGAGATGATAAAATAAATCAATAACATCATTGTCTCTGTGACCTTTCCTGGTTTTATGATGTTTTTTTTGTTTTTTTTAAATAATGTTGTCCCGCAAACCACTGAGACCTTCCCTGACGGCTGTATTTAAACAACTTCTCAAACAAGTGGTTCACTAGTTTTTATTTAGGAGTATAAGAGCATTTTAAACTAGAAACTAGAGATTTTAAACTAGAAAAACAAGAAGATTGGTAAAATTTAGTTAAAGGGTGGTGAATTATTTCATAAGGCATTGCAGATATAAAATAAATATTGTGTTATATAAAGATGCTGCTTGTCTAAATAGGACTTGCTCTTGGGTCCACTTGTGAGTAGAATCTAAAGTATCACCTTCTAGGTACTACAAAGTTCATTCTGGCACATTCAGCTTAACACTCTGAACGTAAAAGCATCATTAATCTCTCTTGAAATGCATATTAACAGCTCCGTAGAGGATATGATCCAGGCTGCCAAATTTAGTTTGAGGACTTTTGTTGTATATATACTATTGTATATACTATTTTTATCTAAATTCAGTGATGTTGGACCATTTTTATCATAAGAGTTGCATGTTGCACTTATTTTAAATCCTATTTCTATATTTGAGCCATAGCTTTCACACTTGTTGTTTTAGAGGTGCAGCAGCTGTCTGGATGCTAAGCGGCAGGGCAGGGGAGACGTACATATCCATCCCAGAGGGATTACAGTCAACAGTGAACATGTATAAGTTTAGCTTGTATTGACTTGGCATGGCAGCAAGCTGGGGATTGTGTGACCTAGAAAGATGATCGAATGCAGAGTGAGGGGGAGAGTGGTTCTCTCTAATGTGAGTCACCTGTTGCTACCCTCCACACATCCAGCATGCATCTAGGCAGCCGTAGATCAGTCAGGCCGGCAGAAGCTAGTAGGCCAATATGCTGCCTGCTACCTTACATGGCTGTAAGGCTGCTCATCTGCCCGCAGCTTAACACAAAGCCACAGACTCCTTATGATCGATTGTTTAGCTGTTTATGGCGATAAATTGAAACTTTTAGAGTAGACTCCGATATCTGAGAGGTGCTTAATATGCAGGACATTTGGATGAACTTACTCCCTCCCAAAATAAAACAAAACATTTTTTTTGCTGCTATTTAGGGAGGGGTGACATATTAAATGTTTGGCACATTTTCATCTGCTTTATCTATTTCAATGCAGTCATGTACAAAACATTCATCCTTGGATTTAAACGCTGTTTTATTGTTTGACCGGCTGTTAGGTACATTTCTACAAATCTTTCTTTTTTGTTTATATACTACATATCTGTCCCGCACTGATAAACAGGCGGTTTTACGATGCTGATCCTCTCTGTTGTACCAACGCTGACTTTGTTTCAGTCGTGGTGGTTTCAGCGTCAGTAGAGAGATTTCTCAGTCTCACCTTAGCGTGGATCTGTTGTTCTCAAGACTACTGAGCGTGTTTATGCAGAATAATGACTAATAACAAACATCTCCATTTACACTAGGTAGACAGTTGCAGGGCACTGTAGAGGACCACTGGATCTGCTCTAACACTGTTACTCTTAAGCACTTTTAGTTGACATTTTTCTTTATCCTTTTTGATACCTTTAACGTTCATTATAACAGAATTCTCATTGCATTTCATACAATAATAACTTTGCCTTACAAGTTGTCTTTTAAAAGCTAAATAATAAAGACCCTTTCAGCCTTGACTCACATCCAGCTAGCTTTTTAATCAGCTATAACTGCCCTTTTTCAGCACAAAAAAAAAAGACTTTGGTTTTCCATTGCTCAGAATTAGAATCATAAATACTTTAATAATCCCAGGGGGAAATTACTCACATTAAAATCAACAGTACAAACAACAAACACGCTTAAAGAGGTAAGGATCAGATAAAAAAATCCAAAAACAAACAAATATAAATTGATCAATATTAGGAAAAATAGATTAAAAGGTTGAAGTTAGGTTATTTCTGTTTAAAAGCTCTGATTGCTCTAGGAGAGTGTCTGACTAACCTGACACTGAGGTCTTCATTGAGTTTAACATGAGAGAGCCTGGAGTAAGAAAGCTTGTTTTTGCTCTAAAACATAAGAATTTGAACAGCCTTTGATGCCAGGATGCGTGGAGAGATCTGATTTATTCCCTTATTTTGGCCCTAATCCCTCAATCCCAGACTAGATGGTCATAGCCTCAGTGATCCTCTCTGCAGATCTCTGTTAAATGTGGCTTGGACAGAGATGGATGTGCACAAAATAGACGGTTATACAATCTAAGTTGCTGTAGGGTGATCAGTCTTATTATTTCTGTTTAGATTTTCTGTTTATAAGTTGGTTTGGAATTGAGTAAAACATGGTCAGAAAAGCCTTCAGAAATCTGTCAAACCTGAATCTCTTGTCTAGCAATAAACATACAGTCTGTATCTGGGAGGTTTATTTGTGGGATGAACATTTTCTAAGAGCAATAAACGGATATTCTGGGTATTTTTTCTTTATGCCAATATTGATCATAAACACAATTATTATTACTCTTATAGTATTATAACATAATAATACTACAAATACAAATTTTTATGAAAATCTGTGTCATATCTAAGCACCTTGGTATATTATAGGCTAATAAAATCTCTGTGTATTTTAGCTTTTTTATTTTTAGAAGCTAAAAATATTTAATGTAAAAGAGGATTTCTGCCCCTTACACATAATAGAAATCCTTAAATTACATCATAACCAAGTGTAAATATAGTACTTGTATTGATTATTAAATACTATTTTTCTCGTAATACTTTAAAACTTCCACTAAAGAGGAGTCTCGATTAAAACCTTCTTTGAATATATTCATATACTGATGATCTTCTTATGTCCAATGAAATAGGAGTAAAATCATCAAAAATTGTACATATTGTTCATATATACTTAATTAATATAAATAAAATCAATCTTCAGAGCTTATGAAGATTTCTTGATTGATTTCTTTAAGCAATCAATCAAATTGCATTTAGAGCATTTTCCATACATGCAGTTTTTGAAACAGAAAAAATTTAGAAAAAGAAACAGCAATGAGAGTAGATACCAATAAGCTTATAGGACAAACAAGCCTGTGGAAAAATAAGGTATGAACTAATGTGGAAATGTTAGGCAGTTGTGTGAATGACGATAAAGAGAAACTAGACATAAAGATTGTAAGGTATATGTTCAATAAGTGTCAGAAAATGCTAAAACAAAGTTCACAAACAATAAAAAGAGGAATACAAATAAGTAAACTAATACATTAAGCAACGAAATTAAATTTAACATATCTTTAAAAAAAAGTAATGTACACTTTGTTATACTGCATTTGTCACAGCAAGAAAATAATTAAGATTTGTAAATAGGAAGGATAATTTGAATTAGTATTGGATAAGTCGGCTGAAAGCATAAATAGGAAACTTAAGTAAAAAAAGGTGTGAAACAGCGTGAAAGTGTTAAATCAGATTTTCGGTTCGACATAATCATATTGAAGAGCGGGATCCTTAAATCTCTCATTCATGAAACAAACACTGCCAGTGGCTTTCATTTAAATGCCCCCTTTCCTGCCATTTGTTTAACTGCAAGTATCTCTTTCTGAGGATGATGAAGATGGAAGAGTGGGAGAAGGTTGAGAGCGGTACCTGCCAGGGAGGACATCTTCTCTAATAAACGCCAGGCCTCCCAGTCCATCAACAAATCATCACTAACCTCATAGACTCTCGCTTTCTGGCAGCGGCGTCTGACAGCTCCCCTTTCTGTAAATCACACAAGCTTACCTGCTGTGCTGGTCTTGACTTCTGCTCAGGTGGAAGATCTTAATAGGTCTCCTGATAAGAGGAGTTGAAACCCTCCTTTACTTTTCGATGAAGATGAGGAGTGAAGAGAGCAGCGCGATGGGTGACCCTACCTTCCTCTGAGGAACTTCAGGAGGAACTGGTTTCAGCTGTGGCATCTGAGCGTAGACTTATTTGTCCACACTAGAAGAATAGCAGGGGCATCACAAGAGTGTCCCCCCCAACACCCACCCACCCTGGACCTCCCTTCTCCCTCTCTTCCTCCTCCTCCATCTCCTCCTCTTCCTCTCCCAGCTCTCCCTTTTACATCTCACATCCCTGGTGCTCTATTTTTTGCTGGGAAACATTCTCCAGTAGACGGAGGGGAAGTGGGATTGTTTTCGGAGATCAATGGCAGTTCCGCTCAGAGTGAACGTAAGGGGTGCTCCAAGTGACTGTCTGTTTCTTGAGGTCTGCACTTTAGCTTTGTTTACATTCATCCAGCAATAGTTCCTAAGGAATGAAACTTCTTAAAGAACAGCAGGAACCATGTGATGCAACCAATTTATCTGTGTTGTCGTGAGCGGGGATAAACCCTGTAGAGAGGCGGTCATGAGGTTTCGGTCAATGCACTATACCTGCTTTGTTCGTTTGTACATCTCTAAAATATCCTGATTTGAAACCACTGCCTCAAGATGGGAAACCTCCTTGTTTATCCTGCTTTTTGTCCATTTATCCAACTTACATAACTGCTCTGAGTCTCAGCCGAGGACCAGCTCCACAGTCTGCTGAAACAGAGATGTCACATTAAATAATCTAATTTTTTTAGCTTTAAAATCTCCTTGCTGGAGGCTAGTGTTCATTCAAATGGAGATAATTTTGTTGTTAGGGCACTCATGCAGTCTAGGTCAGAGTTCAAGGCTTTAGCTCTAGAGCTGACGTTGCTCGGCCTCTCCCCTTGTTTCAGAAAGTTAGTAAATACTCCATTTGTCCCTGATGTGTTCATTTAGGTCAAATGTGTTTAAAGTGAAAACACTCAGTGTGGGATATAAAGTGCTGACGTAGGGAATCAAATTAATGTTCTGCTGAATTTGATTCTCAGATTTAACCAATGAAAAAGGATGAATTCAGTAGTTTTCTGGGCCTTAATGCCGTCTTAGATCAGGCCATCTTCAAAAACAAAAAACACACAACCAGTTTGGTCAGCAGTTTTCATGGAGCCATGAATATCATTATGTTTTTTGGCTTTTTATGATCCATATAAATTATAATTTTTGCATGGTAGATTGTTAGAACAATCTATCATCTTTTGCAAACAAGAACTGGGCACAGAAATTTGAACTGAAGTTTTATTCTACACGTACTGGAAGCTGCTCACATGGTCCTTCCAATACCTTCCAGGGAAAAGTTTTATGGTCAGAGGAGACAAGATTGAAAAAGTGTTTCTATTGTTGTAACTGATGCGCAAACGTAGGTAGCCCCCTAAATGCATCAATTACAAACATATTTTTTTTGTAAAATTATCTTAGAAAAAGAAAGATGGGCTTATACTGTTAGCCTCCTCATCCACTGATATGACTTAAGAGCATACTCATGCTGTGGCGCCTCCATGTCCATATGTGGTTACAAGATCAGCACAGTTCATTTAAAATCCATTCCTACCAATTTTTACGCTGTTTAGAGTCGCCGTCTCTGGCTTGTGAAACATAAAACAATGTCACATTAAGCTTTTTTAATTAATCATGCTGGAAATCTCTGTCCCGTACCTTAGCGATAGTGTGGCCAGAAGAGGATGCACTGTAACTCAGGCAACAAAACCTTAAAAAGATCTAGATGAACTCTCAGATTTCTGAAAAATAGACCAATCAAATATCCAGCCATAAACATTTCAACTTTTAATAGCTGTGCAACTTGCTAAAACACCCAAAATTGTGCAGAAGTGTATGTACACATACACATGTGGATATGTGTATAAGTTTCTCCTTGTATGGGCTGAATATAATGCATAGTAAATGCAGCATCAACTAGGTCAACAGTACAGTACAGAACAGTGTACTGAGGATGTCCTCAAATGTACACCATACATGTGATATGACCTTAATTCTAACAAAGAATGTATTTAATATACTTTGAACTGTACACAGCACTGAAACCTATGCTACATACATATTCTTTCAAATACAGATTTTCTACAGCAAAAAAAGAGAAACCTTTGCAGTGGTTTAAGACACTAAAGCCTTGAAGAATACAGAACTGGATGAGGAGCAGATCCATGCAGACCAAAGAAGGCAGAACTTTCCAGAAGGCAAAATCAAAGCCATCGTCAATGAGTCCAAAGCCGAAGTTCAGAGATCCGAAGAGGTACCGAAGGGAAACCCAGTTTGGTGTTAGAAAGTAGATCCATGTTCAGTCAACAGGCAGAATCCTGCAGGAGCCCAAAGACAGGTCAGGCAAACAGATCAGAACAGGCTGCTAAGAGGTCTAGAGGCAGAACGGGTTAGGATCAGGTAATCAGAGCATAATCAGGTAAGTAGAGAATTCTCACCAAAGGTTCAAAGATAATCTGGCCTGATAACTGAAAAAACTGGTCAGAACAGGAAATCAGAAACACTAAGGTAGCGCTGGACACACTCTCCCCACTAGTTCGAGAATACTCTGCCCATGAGGACTGGTAGCAGGCAGCTTAAAAAGAGGCAGAAGCAGGTAGATAATATGAGAGGTAATGAGAAACTGGGCAGAATTAGACAGGTAAATTAAATGAGTAATTAAGCCAATAATCAGTGACAAGATCATGAGAGAAATGGCTTCATAGACATACTGTAAATAACAATCATATTATATTACACTTGTTTTCTTCCACTCTTTGTCTAAAGGCATTATTGGAATTATTATATTATATGACTTATTTATGTTATTTAAGTGCAGAAGGAAATCTTATCTTTACTCACCTCCTTCGTAAAAAAAAAAACTAACAAACAAACAGCACTGAAATTAAAAAATCACGTTAAATACTTTGTTTGTGTTGGGATCTGGAGGTCTGTCCACCTTCCTCCAGCAGAGGGTGCCCCTTGGTCTCCTGGAGCTGAGCTGAGGACCACACCTGATATCCATCAGTCATCAGGAGACCAGCTTTATAAGCAGCGGCTGAGCTTCCCTTCAGTGCCAGAGTGTTGAATGAGTCACGGTAGCCAACCAGCCTGCCAAACTCTCTGACTCCCCTGAAACCTTAAACCAGATCCTGATCAGTTTTGTCCTCTTGCTCTTCTAGGAAGATCCTGACCGAAACCTGGAGCTCTGGTGGAGGTCATGTTTGGAAACCAGCCTGCCTGCTCAAAGAAGCCAAACCTGAAGACCTCAACCTGCGTCTCCCAGCCAGTTCTCTGGAGAGAGCTTGGAGACCCCCTCAAGGTCTGAACCTACCAACTCTGAAGCCAGTTCCTGCCGCTGCTAAGCCCTCTGCAGATCCTCAGTCTCTGGACCCAACCGGTACTCTCCCCCTGACGCTCAGCCTGAAACTCTGGACAGAGAACCCGGTGTTACCAGCCCCGAACCTGTTTCCAACACCTGTCATAACCTCGTGTTTCTTCAATAAACAGTCAAACTTTCCTCCTGACTCCGTGTGTGTTCTGCATGTGGGTTAGGAACCTAAAACCCATCATGACAGTTTGTCCCATTTTGCTGCTTAGGATGCCTTAATTCATGGATTCAGGAACTCCATTACAATTATTTTTTGGTGGTTTACATAAGTCCATCAGAACAATTAAGTGCTGGGAGATGCGAGGTTGGGCTGCCGTTCAGCTTTTTAGTCTCGTACATCAATTTAAAACTTTACTGGGCACAGATCTGGAGAATTTTAAATGTGTTGTGTTTTCCGCTTTGTTTGGCCTAATCATTCTTGACAGTGTGGATTATAATGGGTCAAGACGCCACAGGCATAATAAAAAATGTTTTTTTGTGAAATAGCATACATGGTCTGAAACAAAGTCTCGGTTGTTGGAATACGTCAAAGTCAATGTGAGCTTAATGTTAGCTTAGTCATGCTGCCAGTACCTGCTGTCTTCCTTCTACTGTGTGGTTTTCCTCAGGTATTTAAAACTGATGTACATGCAATTTACTAGGTCGCCTCCTTGCACTGATCCTTCGCTTGTTAGGTTCTACTAATCCTAATCCAGGACTTTCTGTGTTGGACATGGACCAGTATGGACACCCTTAGTGGTTTTCACTCAGATGCGACATTTTTTTGAAAGTCTCTGACTCAAAATTTAATTCTTGCCACACTTAGTCATGTGCTTTGCAAATTTTTGCCACTAATATCTTTAATGTGGCTTAAATTATTTTAGTATGGGTGTTTTTTTGCCCTTTTGGGGCCAATTCGTGCAGGAATCTTTTTGATCGGGTCAAGTTTCAGCCTCATCAAACTTCCTGCGTCGTGTAGTATACAGGGGTAAGCAGGGGCGATTAGCCTCTCTCAACCACCTCCCGATCCGGAATCGTAAGGTCTGGAGAAAATCAAACATCTTTAAAATTTAGTCGGCCCTTGTCAGATGTTTGTGGGCAAATCCTGCTGTTGAAGCAGAGCTACGAGCTGATTTACCAGAGTTCTTCTTCTTCTTCTTACAGATTGACAAGTCAGAACAGCGCCACATCTCAGAACTCAGTCCAGCGTGTGGTTTTTGGACATAGTGTAAGTAGGTAAAATACATCAGAGTGTTGGCTGTACAGTTTAATAACATATATTGTGAGCTGTAAACTTTTAAACCCTGTGGTTTCACAGAAAAATTTTGAGCTACAGCTGATAACAAATAATGAAAATAACCAACAGTGTATGCCCAGCTTAACCCATTCTGCCACGTTTTGATTTAGTAATCAGACTTAAAGCCTCTATTCTCTCTGGTTTATCAGCTTGTTGCTTCCTGCCAATATCATGATCTGATCTTAATTCACAGAAATGTTTTTGGAAGTTAAATAATAATGGGTTAAATAGGTTAAAGAGCAACCAGCAGTAAAGATCTTATCTCAAAGAGCTTATCAGAAAATATTTTAAAAGTGGAACAACTTTCAGTGATTTCAAACAAATATCTATTCATTCCTATTAATTATATAATTTTATTGCATCATATATTTTCGGCCACGGAAGGATGAGGTCTGAGCATGTGTGTCTTTTGTTAGTCGGTGTGTCGTCCTTAGAAAATTAGATGAAATGCTTTAAA